ATATATATATAATCTAAGACTTAGTGCTCAGCCTTAACCTTAAATTTTCGATTTAAGATTTTACGTTTCTAATGTAGCGCTGCAGTGTTCGTTTACAGCTGCACTAAAGAGACTAGATCATATCAGCAGCAAGTGTAAAGACAAAAGCCTGACAGTAGAGGGAGGCATTTCATTGTTATTTTTTCTGTTTGGGTTAACTTCAGTTCAGTCACTGATAAGTGTTTTAATTCCTGTAACATTCTGAGCTACAGGAAGATAGGATTTTATATGATTTAACATAATTCTTCTTAATGTCTTATGAATGTGAAGGTAAAACAGGTGTTTTGGATGTGAATCACAAGAGTAATGTGTAAATGAGCAATAAAAGTCCAGAAATTTAACTACCTGTGAGATTTCTGTACAAACTTAAATAAAGAAAAGCAGGCTGCAGATATTCATTTGTTTTATATTTTCATGTAGTTTTGCTTCAATACATAAATATACTGTAACTCATTGTTATAAAGTTCAAACCTGACCAAATGATTCAGTCAGATTTAATAAAAAAACTAGAATAGATTAGTCAAAGTCAGTCTTTAACAGATTTTAGATCTCTTTGGTACTCTGGCAGAAGTGCCCACATTTTACAGGAGTGGAACCAGTTGCTCCACCTTTAATACTTATAGCCATTCAACCTGCCTCCATCCTGACACCCTCGTCTCAAAAGAGAGTCGCAGAGTGTCGTTGCTTCTCTCAGTCACGCTGTTGACAAATTAGTGGGCCGCGGCGTTGCCATCTCGACAGGAAAAGCAGTAGCAGAGAAATGAAAGGGAATGGTGTTTATTCCCAGAGCTCAACCCCTCTGTCGGCCTGTCACTCTTCCTACAGCCCTGAGGGGAGAAACGGAAGGCATCCTGAGCTTCCTTCCTTCCATACCTGTTAAATCATTCATCATCCAACTGCCTGATTATTTTAAAAAGCTAACAAGGCTTTGGTTCTCCGGTGCGTGCGTCTCAGGGAGAGAGAGTGAGGGTGAGTGGGGCGTAGCTGGCGGTGGGATGCACCCCATGGCTTACACCACCCCACTTCTTGCACCCGCCGCCACCCGCCATCCCCTCTGCACTCATCTATCATATACCCACTTCCCCTCAACTCCTTGGTTCTACAAAACTTTTAGTGGAGGGGAAACTCCCTCCTCCTCTGCTTATCCTACTTCTTTTCCTCTGCACTCTCTTGTTTCTCCTCGTTTGCGAGGTTTAAATTTGTGTGGAAGACAAGTTTGTCCTTTGCTTGAATGTAAGTGTGTCTGTGAGGTGTTTAGTGAGTGCTTTGGCCTGAATACGGACTGAGAGTCAGAGGTCGAGGCAGAAGCACCTTCTGAGTAATACAGGTGTTAGCAGGGAATCATGTCTGTGCATGTGTGTACATATGAAATGAATTGTAAATGACAAAATGGAATGTATTTACATATGCAGAGCCTTTCTACCCAACAAGGACACTCAAAGAGCTTTACAACACAATCTGTGCCCTCATTTACCCATTCACAAAGCACTCTACTTAGTCTCTCTACAAAGTTAATCTAGATAAATCATTCTATAGAGACTAGTCATTGCTTTAAATCACACTCATCAGAGGAACAAAGTGCTAATTATTGACATGTATACAAATATCCTTTGTGTATTAATCTAGATATTAGACATCTCTGTCTAATATCACATCAAGTGTTTTCTTAGTTTTTCCTCATGAATAAAAWAAAGTTTTCTAAATTTGAATTTGAGTAATACTTACATTTTTCTAAATAGTTTCATATTTTTTAAACTTTAGAATAATATAAGTCCCATAGTTGTACTGCTTCTCTAATTTAGATCATTTTAAAGCTGGAATAATTTTCCATCTATTTTCTATAGGGCTGGGTGATATGGCTGAAATAAGCGTTTCATATCCATCATTATAGATAATTATTGATTAGTTTTACCTATTTGAAATAAGGACCAGGTGAAAAACTGGTGGCGAAACTTTTCCTCTTTTATCCATAATTTTCTCTCCAGCCGTTGCACGCATTTTCTCCTGTCACTCCTTGTCCTTCTTTTTATTTTTTTAACATAATTTTTTTATTTTATTGTATTGTTTTTTTTTTTGCAATGTATGGAGATGTTTGGGGCTGTGTATTTATGTGTGTACATGTGTGTACTG